GGAAGGTTTTCGAATGTGAGAGAACGCAGCGTAGAGTATGCTTGTAAGGCTCTAGAACGTGGTGGAAGGGGTCTGGGAGTGGCCTAGAAGATCCATAATGTGGAAGAAATCTTGGAGTGTCCAGTCGAGTTTGGATGGGTCTGGAAACATCTAGAATATCTTGGAAAAGCCTACCATGTACTACACATGCTAGAGAGTTGTAGAATGTAGTAGGAGAGGTAGTTGTCCTAGATATTTCTATGGCAGGGTTCTAGATGGAGAGTTTGTAGCCCTTGATCAAAGTGATCCTAGCCATCCATTGAGGAGGAGCAGATTCTCTCTCATGCTATATTTATCTGTTAGCTGGCGGAGCAATTTCTTGGAGGTCTGCAAAGCAGACGCTCATAGCTTCGTCCACCATGGCTGCAGAGTTTGTAGCATGTTATGAGGCATCAAACCAAGGGATATGGCTGCGGAATTTTGTCACTGGGTTGCGTATTTTGGAAGGCACTGAAAGACCACTTAAGATATATTGTGACAATAAGTCTGCAGTTTTATATTCCAATAACAACAAGAGCTCAACAAAATCAAAGCATATTGATATCAAGTTCCTAGTTGTAAAAGAAAGAGTGCAGAGTGGACAGATTTCCATAGAGCACATTGGGAGAAACTCCATGATAGCGGATCCACTTATGAAGAAACTGCCACCCAAGGTCTTTCATGAGCACACTGCTCATATGGGTGTTGTTCTATTTGAGAACATTCTGGTTTAGTGGGAGTTTGTATTTTTATTACTGCTTTATGTCAGCCTTAAGTTTTATCTATGTGCTGGTCTACAGCCCCCTTTTCTGGTCTACAACCAATTTCAGAACATGAAACTTCATGTTTCGGATCATCTACCATGTATATCATCAAGAAATCAAGACAAAATGACATACCTGAATCCATTGATGAACGGTTAAAGCGTCTGATTGTCAATAAAACTTTAATATTGACTTTGTTAGAGCCTTCTAATCCTTTCCCTTATGTGCCTTATGTTTCTCCTTGAGAGGATTTAGAAAAACAAAACAGTGTTCTTATCTTTCAACTTGGGAAGGAATAGGGACCATAACCTTTTAAAGGTTGTAATTGGTTTTCATAATTGAAAGGTAATGAAAACCAATAAATTAATCATTATTGGTTTTAAAACTGAAAGGTAATGAAAACCAACTTTAACCAATATGTTTTAATTTCTATTTCTGCCCCTCATAGAAATAGAAATTATACAACTAGTATCTACACATTAGGTCCATAACATATATACCCTTAAGCCTATTAACTAAATTGAATCACTTAAATTGTAGGCTTCTTATAAATGATAACACCACATTTAATTATGTGATCCCATTAAGACATTATCTAACAATATTGGTCTAGAAAAATGCCAAAATATAAGAAAATGCTACAAAACTTAGCAAACTATGGAAGGGGCGGTTTGTTTTCAGAAGTAAGGTTTGAGACTAAATTTTGTAATGTGTTGGGATTATTAATATATTGTTTGTTTTAAAATTATGGCGAACGACTATGAGTCCCAACACCATCAGCTAGAAGAAATGGTATTAGAAAATGAGTTACTTGGGACTAGATATTAAATGACCATATTGTTTAAGTTTCGGTAAAGGAGGAGAGTTATATGTTAGGTAGTCAATAGTCTACACGTATAAAAATCGTTTGGATCTCTTGTGAAAATAAATCTTACATGCACAATAACTGGGGAGATCAGAATGGATGTGATCCATAAAATTAAGACGGGATAACTTAAGTGGATGAGTGCGTATGGGGTATTGTGTGATAAACGTGTATACACTAAACTAAAAGGAAAGCTTTATAGAGCGGCTATTAGATTAGCGATGTTGTATAGGATGAAATGTTGGACAACTAAGAACAACATGTAGATAAGATCAGTGTTGCTCAGGTGATGATGCTATCGTGGATGTGTGACAATACTAGAAAAGATAGAGTTAGGAAGGAGTAAAGTGAGAGAGAATAAAATTGAGATGGTTTGGTCATATATAATAAGACCAATAGAGACAGTAGTGAAGAGATGCAATACAATGATGGTAGATGAAAGTGTTAGGGGAATGGACAAATCTAAATTGATGTGGGCTAGTATGGTAAAAAGAGATATAAATCTACTGAATTTGACTAATCAAATAGTTGTTGATAGAATCGAATGGAGAATAAGAATTCATGTAACGGATTCCATTTGATGGGATTTAAGACATTATGAATAAAAACGTAACACTGTAATAATGTAGCAGTCCAATGTGACACTATAAAACTTCTTAGTACACTTTTTCCAAACGTAACACTCTAATCAATGTAATTTTAAACGTAATACTTCAATATAACACACTCCAATGTAATACCAAATATATATATATATATAAATTAATAATTTTAATATTTCATCGGACAAGAACACACACATTTTCTGAATCCTCTTATGTGTCGTTTGGGATATGAGTTGGGTTGATTTTTTTGGTTAAATTAATCTAAAAATAAATAAAATAAATTAAAAAATTAAGAGAGATTTACGTATAAATTAATAAGTAAATTTATTATCACATAAGTCTTATGATAATTAATAATATTTTATTAAATAATATTAAAAAAATGTTACTAATTATTAATTTTTAGCGACAGTTTAAAAATATTGTTATAAAAAATATCACTAATTATAAGTTTTAGAGATTGTTTAAAAAAATTGTCACAAAAAAATCATTAATTTACAACTTTTAGTAACAGTTTGAAAAATTTGTTACAGAAAAACGTTACTCATTATAAGTTTTAGTAATAATCTATAAAAATCTTAACAAAAAAAGTCACTAATTATCAATTTTTAGTGATATATATAAAAAATTATCACAAAAAATTATTTTTAGTAACAATTTTATTAGTACTTATTTTTAATAGGGAAAATTGGTCTAGGGTCCCTCCCCCACTTTTCGTAATGGATGAGATCCACGATATTATTTTTTGATGTGTGAGGTCCCTCCCATCTATCACAAAGAAATTCAGCCCCCTACATTTTCTCTACTCTCACTTATCACCACGATCAAACACGCACACACACAGAGTTCACTGTTCGTGATCGGAAACGCAATCATCATCACTCTGTTTCTGAAATACAGATCGATCATGGCATTTGCATGATCTGCAAGAAGAAGTCGGCGGAGGACGAGACCATCACCGAGAGAGTGAGGGAGCTTGTGTGTTGCTGTGTGTGTATCTCTTTTCTTTTCTTTTCTTTTTTTTACACCAACAACCACCAGCACAATCTTGGAGAAGATGCGAACTCTAATGCTGCTTCGTTTTCTTCTTGCTTGGCTCACTCTCGTTTCATCTAGCTCTAGCTCTGGTAATTAAATTCTTAGCTATATGCATTGTTTGGTTGTTAGAGTCAAAGGTATATATTATGGAAGGCAACATCTCTGGGTTCAACTCTCTGGGTTGATCCAGAGATTTTCTCTGGTTTCAAGCATAGATCTTTTGGCATGTTTAACATTAAAGAAATTTTCCTTAGGTTCCACACATCTAGTAACATTAACGAAATCTTTTGGCAGAATTGAAGAATTTGTAATTCATAATCATATAACCAGGATGCTGCTAGAAAATTCAATCCAACCCAGAGAAATTCTAGGAATTTCCCAGAGAAATTAGTTGTCTTCATCCATTGCTAATTGGGCCCCTCTTGTGGAAAATGACCCAGTCTAGAATTTCTCTGGGTTGTGGAGTCCAGAGAAATTCTGGGTTGAGAGAATTTCTGTAGAAAGGTTTGTAATTAAAATAACAAACACAAAAATTCATCAGTTAGTCATAATCAACCCCACTTAAGGTATAACAAAAAAATTATTTTGTCATAATCAAAATAACAATCATAATTTGTTATAATCAAGGTATAATCAACACTACAATAAATTATAACCAAAAAAAAAAAATGGGATACTTACCAATCAATCTTATTAACTAGACTTATTTACTTACAGGTCCTAACCGATAAATTTATCACTATAAATTTATACATAAAAACAATAGACTAATAAATTTATCACTTGATAAATTTATCAACAGAACTTAATGAATAATAAATCTCAAAAGTAGGACCTATTAGTAATTTACCAAAAAAAAAAATATTTACGTGTAGGTCCTAATGAGTGAACTTATTGTCTAATAGGTCATATGGGAAAATTTGTCATAAAAAAAATTACTAATTGTAAGTTTAAGTGACAATTTATAAAAATCATGACAAAAAAAAGTTACTAATTATTAATTTTTAGCCACAGTTTGAAAATATTGTTACAAAAAATATCATTAATTATAAGTTTTAGAGATTGTTTAAAAAAATCGTCACAAAAAAATCATTAATTTACAATTTTTAGTAACAGTTTGAAAAATTTGTTACAGAAAAACGTCACTAATTATAAATTTTAGTAACAATTTATAAAAATCTTAACAAAAAAAGTCACTAATTATCAACATTTAGTGATATATGTAAAAAATTATCACAAAAAATTATTTTTAATAACAATTTTATTAATACTTATTTTTAATAAAACTTGATAAAAATTAAGTAAAACTATTAAAACCAATTATTAATTTACTCAAAAATTAATAAGCCAAAATATTCTATTTAAATTCTAACCGTTTTACTTTTTTCTTCATAACTTTCCAAGCAAGTTAGTTGTGTTACAGTTCGACTCCATAACTTGTAAGGTTGTGTTAGGGATTAATTAATTTTATAAAGATCAAGAAATGATTATTTCATTCAATTCTATCTTTTATACTGTGTTTGGTTAGAAGATTTGAAGAGGAATTTAAAAAAAAAAAAAGAAAAATTAAGTAAAATATAAATAAAATATATTTATATTTCATCTAATTTTTCATACCTTTCCCTTTTTCTTTTTCAAATAACTCTTCAAATCTCCCAACCAATACCAGCATAAATATTTCATCCGCTCTTAAAACAAACGGGGTTTATAGTTATCCCAAATTCTCTCACCTCCGATATAGAGAGAAGGCAATCACAGGAATTTAGAGAGAGAGAGAGAGGAAGAGGAGGATGAAGATTCAATGCAACGTTTGTGGAGTAGCGGAGGCGAAAGTTTTGTGTTGTGCGGATGAGGCGGCTCTGTGCTGGGCATGCGATGAGAAGGTTCACGCTGCCAACAAGCTCGCCAGCAAGCATCAGAGAATTTCTCTCTCTAGCTCTTCCTCGCCCATGCCCAAATGTGATATCTGTCAGGTATATTCATACACATATTTTGTTCCTTTTGCTTTTGATGGATTCATCAAATCAACTACTTTCAGAATTGTATAAATATGAGTAAGTTTGATTTGTTGAAGCATCTCCAATCTTTCATCAATTCTTTCATGAAATTCAAATTTGATGAATAAAGAGCCAAAACTGAACTCCAATCATTTCATCGAATTTGTATCAAATAACGGGAGAAGTAAGGATTGGAGATGATTTGCTTTCAAAAAAATTGGTAAAACAGGTTTTAAGGATAAATTTGGAATTTTCAAAAAAGATTTGATGAAGAAAAAGAGTAAGGATTGTAGTGTTCCATGCCCGATCAAGCTTTTAGCCAAAATTTGATGAGAAACAAAAGAAAGAGTAAGGATTGGAGATGTCTTAAACTGGCTTTTCTTGTTATAACTTTTAAAAAATTAGTTAGTCTTATTGGAAGATTTTGATTAATTTATCTGATTGGTATATTTGTGAACACGGTTTAATGAAGAATAAAAATACACTCAATTTAAATCAACAAACCATAATTCCGAATCCTGTGATGGCTAAATGGACCATCTTCTTGGATTGCCACTATGTAAAGCCATATATGTACTCATTTAAATCTGATCGAATCATGTTTTTGATGAATGTCAACTTGGATTAAATCACTTTGGGAAAACAAAAATGATGTGGAAAATGCATTTAGAGCAATTCATTTCAGACAACTATTTCTGCCCCCCCCCCCCCAAAAAAAAATAATAATAATAATAATAATTTGCGATTTTCCTCAAATTTATTTTTTCATTAATGAAAGCATTGAAACTTCATTAGAATCTCTAAGAATGTGTTTTCTAAACTAATCACACTCAAGTTTTTTTTTTTTTTTTTCTTCTTGCTTTTGGAAATCTATATGTTAATTTGGTTTGCTTTGCCAGCAGCGGAGTACATTTTGCAGATTAGTTCACTTATCAGGGACATGGTTCTAATGGTGCATAAGTTTTCTTTTGAGTCAGATGAGACCAAGATGCAACTTATTCCTCAGTTTGGATTTTATTTGATTTGAAAATTATAACAAATACATACTTTGAGTTATGCACTGCCCTTGTAGTATAGTTTGTTGTGATCTATTGGTAGGGTAGTACTTGCACTCATTTAGTGTTTGGAAATTCGAATTTTTGTTTAACAGTTATTGTGGAAATTTGCTTTGGTGGTTATCATCATTATCGTCATCATTGGATATGAACCACATTTTTGGAGTGGTTGTTGTAACTGACTATTTTTCCCCTCAATTTTTTTTAAAGAAAATAATTTTTAAAGCCTTTTACCTGGAACCTTGTATGCTGATTATTCTTTCTTTCGAATCTTTTTCAATATGAGTTGTAAATTTTCTTTCGAATCTTTTTCAATATGAGTTGTAAATTTTTATTCTTTCTAAAATTACTAACATGATAAAAGAATTGGCATCCATACAGGAAATGGTTGGCTATTTCTTTTGTCTTGAGGATCGAGCTTTATTTTGCCGGAAATGTGATGTTTCCATACACACAGCAAATACACACGTGTCAGCTCATCAGAGATTTCTTCTTACGGGAGTGACAGTAGAGCTCGAATCCTCTGAACCCGGTGCATCTTCTTCCTCAGGGAATTCTAATAGTGGTGAGAAAATATCAGAAACCGAATCTCGTTTTCTATCTAAAAAGGGTACCCCAATGTCAATGTCTGGTCAATGCAACAAAGTATTACCTGTCCAAGTTAGTGGAGTTGGGGATTTTGCTCCAACTAAGTTTCCGTTGGCTGGAGGATCTGCAGCTGCAAGTATTCCACAGTGGCACTCAGATGAATTTGTTGGACTAACTGAATTGAATCGGACCTATGGCTACATGGATAACAGCTCTTCCAAGGTATAACTTTAGCTCTTACTATGTGTATATTGTTAATTTTTATGCATATATGGAGGCAATGTCTTAGCATCCAAGGCTCTTTAGGTATATGACATTTGTTCCCTCGAGAACGTCAACCTGGCCTCTTCTCTTGGCATTTGTACATTGATGGTAGAGAAGAGTGTAAACTATAACTCTCTCTCACAGATGGACACACATGTGTCTAACCATGTACTTACTGCATAGAGATTATTTGCCACCTCTGGAGGTGCAATAACCTCAAAGATATTGATTGATAGAGGATGCTTGAGAATCACATCGCCTTGAATGCTTGTGGCCACGAGGTAAAATGACTTGTAGCAAGACAGATTATCTAAACTTGGTTTGGTCCTAATGCAAGCTGTAACCCTGATGCCAAGTTGGAGAGCCATATTTGACATACAATGACATTTGATAAATGTACTTTGGCCTGGTCACCCAGATCTCTGTTTGAGCCAACTGGAGCTGGTGGGGCTCTTGTTTAGACTTGGACTTTTGAATTGAAGTTAATGAAGGACTTTTTTAATTGAAGATTAAGGCATCCTTGGCAGAATATTTTTGGAATTAAGTATTGATATATTTATTGTACTTTGCTCAATCAATTAATTTGTCTAAGGCTGCAATTGTATTGCTGTCGAGGAATAGCTGATCGGCATTTGGCTTTGAATTTAACATACTTCTGGGAAAGTTTCTTCTTCTCTTGTGATGCAACTCCCTATTATACATTAGTTGAAGAATTAGCTACAGTCCTAAAAATTAATTAGACTTGGAAGTTAGGCGTTGACATACTGGTACTTATGTTCTGAGGAAACTTGGACACACATTTTTCTCCCTTTTTAGTGATTATATTGGTTGGAAGAAGTACTTCCCAGTATTAAAACAAAAAATGTTTTGTTTCTCAGAATCCTTGATTCTAAAGATTTTTTCCCCAAGCCACAGATGGTTATATTGCCAATTGTATATTTTGGAAAACCAAAAGCAGGCTTAGTGGATGTTTCTTCTGGTAAAAAGTGGATTATAAAGCCACTGCAGCAAATTGAGCAAGATTAAGCTCAGCTGTTATGTAGTGTTAGTTAAGATATCATGGACGTGCTACTTCCAGGGAAACTTGCACGTGTGGTTCTGGCCGATTTTGCATCTTAACGATTGATTGAACTGTTAATCTTTTTGAAGGCGATTCTTCCTCAGAGTTTGGATAGATCCAGGTTTGCTATAGATTGAGATATCAAGTGACCTTATAGTTTTGGCTTTAAAATATGTTTATTATTAATGGGCTTAGATAATTGTTCTTTTTCTCCAGGTATATATAACCCTGGCAAATGCAGTCCCTAATATTGTCTGTTATTTGCGATGAATTATACTAGGCTGATACTCGTAAGCTTGGAGACTCTGACTGCTCCGCAATCTTAAGCGCTGGAGAGGAAGAACTGGATGCTAGTGAGTGCTTGGGTCAGGTGCCAGAGGCATCCTGGACCGTACCACAGGTCCCTAACTCATCTACATTATCAGGGCTTGACTGGCCAAAGAATAATCAGAGTCTATGTGACACTGCAGTTTTTGTGCCTGACACTATGCAAAACGCTAGTCGGTATCAACCAAGTTGCCCTAGTTCAAAAAGGCAGAGGGAATTCTAATCCACTTTCCTTGAGCTTCATGTTAGTCTTTAGAGTATATAATATATATACATATACATATATATATATATGGTTTGTTTGGTTGAGCTAATATCTGTGGTTTGATTTGAACTATCTTACTTTCATCTGTAAGTAGATCTCTCTCTTTTTTACTGTTTTTGTGTAGGGTTGTAACATTAATACATAATTATTTCAGTTGTATCTGGGGTGTGTTTGGGTTGAATGAATGAATGAAATAATTATTAAAATACTCCTTTTCAGAGTATACTCATTTCATTTCAGCGGATAATCATTTTCCTTCTCAAAAAGAAAACAAAAAGATATTGCGAGAAAACAAAAAGAAATTGTTGGAGACAGCGTTGTCACATATTACTTTCCTCGGTTTCGATGCATTTTGAATCAGAGAATGGCAACACAGCGAGAAAACTGAAGAGAATCACAATGAAATGGTTCTCTCTCTGTTAATCTCTGCTCTTCTATTCAGCTTCTAGTCTCTCTCTCTCTCTCTCTCTCACATACAAGGCAACATATACACGAACACATATATATGTATATACAGAGAGAGACATCTGGTGGTGCCTTCGCGAGCATTTTCTTCTGTGGGTGTTTGGGTGCAGAGGTCCGACTTCAGTTTCTTGTTTGGTGGCGGCTTAAAATTCTCTCTGCTCAATATATTGCAAACATGCTGAAGTGTAGGTAAATTCATTCCTTTACCTGTTTGTCAATTTTTCCACATTGGGTATATGGTCACATCTTTCACAAACTCATGCTATACAATACGGTTCAATGTTGGTTGCATAGATTAATAATAACAGTCTTATCATGTATCCTGAGTTAGAAATCAATACTTTTCTTATGTGGTAGTGTTGGTGTTAAAGAGGTCGTATCTACAGGCTTTGAGATATCAAATGTATATCAATTTGCCACAGAACTTCTTTTTTAGTTTTTTATGTAACTAAAAATACAAATGGAAATTTAGGTTATGTTTGGATTTATCGATTTAAAATTAAACAATTTGATTCTATTCAGTCAAGTTAAATATCTTAATTTAGATTTGATGTTTAGCTATGGATTTCAAGATTCAACTTGATAGCTTTATCATGATGAATTTGAAATAAAATACTTATCTTCTATCTTTAGTTCATCTTCCTCTCTCGATCCACCTATTATAAAATGGCTTAATCTTCTACATTTTTATAAAATTCAACCTCAAATCCCTTCGTTTGAAATCCATCCATCCATCCAAACAGAGCCTTTTATTTTTGCTATAATTGCTTTTAGTTTCTTTACTGGCATAATTAGTTCTAGAAGTTTCTTCTATTCTCGAATTCTTTATTTAAATTCATTGATGGCTCTTAGCATGCACCTCAACTCTCAATGTTTTTCTTTCATATGAACTATATTTTTAACTTTCTTACTGGCCTATGCATCAAATTATTTGGAGAACTCAAACTCCAACCAATTAAGTTCGGCAATACTGCTGTCTGCTGAAAGATTGAACCTTAATCACCTCTTGAGATTCAACTTGATGTTTTGTTATAAATCTGCATAAACTTCCATTATATTCTAGTTCAAGTTGACTAAATTTGACCCTAATTGAAATTTAAATATCAACATTTTGGTGTAAACATCTTCTGAAAGGAATGTTTATTCACTTTTTTGGTGAAATCTGCCATATCCTTTAGAAAGCCATTTAGCTGTTGAATTATTGTGACCTTAATCTTAACTTGGTTATATATTTTCCAAATTGTTCCTCTGATTCCATGAATGCGTATCTTTTCCCCATGTTACCTTGCTTTGGAATTTTGGTTTGACTTGTGGAACTTTGACTACATGACGGACTCGTAAAACCTACCTGTAAAACCATAGTGCAGATGAGTAACAACGGTTTTAATATGGTTTGCAGGCTCTGATGTGAAACCAATTGTTTGTGCCGTTGTCATGCTATGTAGCTTCTTTATATGGATGTATTAAAGTTTTTATTTGATTTCGTTAGTTCCTTCTTCTTCTTTTTTTTTTTTTTTTTTTTTTTTTTTTCCATTTTATCTTGGCATAGATGATATTGTTGTTATAATTGTTTTCAGATGATGAAAACTTCAACTTCTTTCTTCATTGGATAAACCTATGGCTGCAACTGCATTTTTAAAAAATATGGCATATGACAGACAATAGCTTCTCCCAAATTCTCTTTATACATTAGCCTTACATTTAGATTGCTTGCTTAAAAGGTTTGATAGGGTTAACTGGCGACCTGTATAGACTGCATTTGAATAGCAGCATTGCATTGGACATCATAGGCCAGCCATTCCCCACTCCTTTACTAACCATGTCCTAACAGTTGCCGCAATTCTCTTCATTTGGCGATCACCACCATTTTAATAGTTCTGCTTTTCTTCCTCCCCGCAGATTGTGTGAAATCTCCCAACCTGTTCCATCTCAACCGCCAAAAAGAGAAATGCCTCCTTTTGCCAGTTGACGAGGTGCCCAATCCAACCCATCTTCGTCCACCTCTACTTCCTTTTCCCCAGCTGTAAGCTAAGGGCACACTAACCTTCTGTTCGCCAACAGCATGGCTTAAAAAATGGAAACACCTTTTATGCAGCTTACTGCGGTGTTAGGCTGATAGTAGAAACAGGGATGTGATTAGTTGTGGCTTAAAGGAACTAGAGGTTGTTTGATATTGATCTTTGTTATCCCCGTTTTGGTAACAAAGGAGAGAGATCTTTATTTGTTTATTTATTTATATTTTGTGGGGGGAGGATGGGGAGGGAGTATAACCATTTGGTTGTGTGGGACAAGGCGTGTTTGCCTTTTCATAGGGGAGGTTTGGGGATAAGTAGAACATAGTTGTTTAACAAGGCCTCTTTAGTTAAGTGGTTATGGAGATTTGCTTCGGAGGATGGGAGGTTGTGGAGGAGAAAAAGGGACAGATTGGGGTAACTGCTCTATGGGCAGTTGGCTACAATCATGGGACCTTATGGGTTGTGAGGGTTTGGGATGTCACTTCCTTTCTTTGTTTTCTGGTTTTTGGTCTTTTTTGTTACTGATTTGTAATGTTATGTACCTAGTTCCTATGTGTCTTACATAATAATGTTTGCTATAACTTGTCTGCAGATGTTGGAGGATACTTAAAACCACCAGTCTTCTTCTGCTTACTATAGATTGCAATGACATTCATATAGATTACAGTTGAAGAAGTCAACAATATCAGATTTAGAAGAAGCTGTATTGGAGACTGAAAATATGGCTGGTCATAATCAAGACTTCTAGTCTACCATATCTGTTCATACTCTCACATTGTGACAGCTATTGGGTGCCACAGAGCGCACACAAATGGATGGTATGGATGCATTTATGGCACTGCTGCATGCTGTAACAAATAACTGTTCCTCATATAGTATATTCTCGGCACAAGGTACTCTATATCTTTCTCTGTCTCTATTTTGTTTTTCTCCTAGGTAGGTAAAGGGAGAACATGTAACATGATTCTGTTACTGATGCTTGACGGCGCCAACAAATAAAATAAAAGTAAAAGAAAAGAAAAGAAAAGAAAAGAAAAGCGGCACACCAAAAGAAAATAAGAGAAACCCTAAATTTCTGATTTCAATTTCCAAAATTCAATATCATAGTCTGAATAACCTTAATACATAATGGCCTATTTAGAGGCATTCAAGAAAACCATAATTCAAAGTCACCAAAAACAAAACAATACAATAATTAAATTCTAATTAATATTCTAATATTGATATAATTCCAAAAAATTTTACTTCCCAAAAGTCTTCAAATCTTTACTCTCTAATCATACATTTCTCTGTCAAACAAATGCTACAAAGAGTGTTCATTTATCATCTTCTTCTTCCTTACTTGTATCACAGTTACTTCCTACTTTGGCTTCCTTGAGAACAAGTCCCAAGAGTTTCTCATAAGCCTGGATTGCTGATCCAAGTGTATCAATCGCTTTGCTCCTATCCCGTGCCAAAACACCCAACATCTGTTCCATCCCCGTCACCTCCCTCATCGGCCTACTCAGCTCTCTACTGGTGAACCCCGACCTCCATCTGCTAAATTCATCATTACCTTCACTTGCTCCAAGTCCGTGGCTCCCACAATCACCAAACCCTTTGACCACAACAAGTTCACTAATGCTTCCCATTTCCTCGCTGAGAACCGTAACCACCTCTTTTCTAAAAACATCCCAAATCCAAATGCTCCCATCGTCTGAAGCAGTAACCAAATTCTGCCCTCCGTTCATCATTGCCAACGCAATCACTGCTCCCTTGTGTTTCCTTGTCCACGTGACTAATTTATGCCCTTGTTTCACCACATGTCTCCCTACGCCCTTCATCACTCCGTTGTACACCGAACCATCCGATCCTGCAACGTAGAACTCAGATTCCGTGGGGTCCATTTCCACACCCCAAATTGTACACGGGAATGCTACGGTACGCAGGTGGGTCCCATGCATTAGGCTCCAGAACTTACACGTGCAATCTAAAGAGCACGAAATTATAGTACAATTGGATGCTCCAATCCCGGTAGTGACAGAAGTGACGGTTGATTCATGCCCATTGAATCGATGCAATACAAGTTCAGTCGACTTGGAAGACGTGTTCTCCAGAAGTTTATAGATTGGAAAAACCGCAATGGTTCCATCATCACTGCCTGAAAACAAGAGTGACCCATCATCATTGATTGCCAGGCAAGACACAGGCTTTCTATGAGCAAAAATGGTTCGAATTGTGTCACTCGAAGGGACTGAGAGCGCATGGACATGGCCTGAAAGGCCACCAGCGAAAAGGTACGAGCCGTCAAAAGTGGCGGCAAGTGGACCAACTGGTTCAGTAATAGGGATGTGGTGCGAGGCGGTGGAGGACCACCAGTTATAGAGATGAATGGAGGCTGCAGCAGTGTCTGAGGACACATGAGAGGCGGCGATGAGATTGTTCCCAATAACCACAAGGCCTTTTCGAGGTGATCGGCTTCCAGTGAAGCGAGCTAAGGTGGTGCCTGAGGAAGCATCGAAGGCAGTGATGATTCCATCTGGAGAGCTAGCAAGGATGATTTCTTGCAAAGGAGATGATGCCATTTTTTTCAGGCAGGAGATGGGGAAAAAAACTGTGAACACGAGAAGTACATGATGAGAGAGGATATGTATATATAGTTGTTGGAAAGGATGAGTTTTTATTACCAAATTAATTTTGGATTTTTGCTAGGTAACTAAAAATTTCTGTTTTATTTTATTTTAAATTTATGAGCTTGACTGGGTAAATTGTTTCACATGAATTAGCTGCACAACAATGTCATTTATGTAGAGTGAGTTGGTGAGCCTAGTGAAGTATTGTAACGTAATTTCCTACTTTGACCATCATAATACTTTTTACTTTTCATTCATAAATCTTTCAGTATGGTGAAGACTCTATTTATTATATACTATATTACATAAATCACTAGAGATTACAAGGAAAAGTAATTATGAGAAATTATGTTTGAAATTAGCTCCAATGGATTTCATTTTTCTTTATTCGGTGGTGTTGGAAATTATGAAGAAAGAAAACATAGAGTTAGAGAAAAGGAGAAACCGTTTTTTTCATCGCGAGAACTTGCTCTAAAGAAATACAAAAATTTTGCTAATCAATCTTTTTCCTTCATCTCGTTTTTCTTTTTCATTTCCTTTCCTGTTCCTTTTTCTTTCGTTATTTTTTAGAAGGAAAATGTTATAAATAAACGGATTAAATGTCTTTATATTTCAATCCTCTTCCTCCTTGATAGCCCTGTTTGGTAGAACTGTGGGAAAATACTTATAACTTATGTCTAAACAGCTTATAGCTTATAACTTTCAGCTTAAGCTGATTTCCAGCTTATTCTTAAAGCATCTCCTGCCCCACTCAAAGAATAAGCTGATTTCTGACTTGCACAAAGCTATAAGCTATAAGCTAAACCAAACACATCAAAATAGCTTAAATTAAGCTGAAAGCTGAAATAAGCTGTAAATAATTTCTGCCAAACAGGCACGATGAACTGAGGGAACTTGTGACAGAATATTTATATATTCTATAAATTCACAAATAAATCTTTTCTTTTCATCTCTGTTTCCCTTTTCTTTTCCCATTTCTTCACCTTTTCTCTCACTACTTTCAGCAACCCAAACAGAGCTTAAGATAGCAGCAGATTTCTAAGTTTCATAGCAAAAGGAAATTCATCTCCAAGTCCGTGGCTCCCACAATAATCAGTGAAAAACATGCATGACATTTTGCCAATTCAGTTCCCCTAGACCTCTCTACCCATTGGGGGAAAAAAAAATATTGAGAGAATTGAATGCATAGCAAAATTTAAATAAATAGATACGAGAACTCAGCCTGATGTTGTAATTACAATAAAAGAATTCATGTTTTACAAACTATAGTGTGTTATAACCAAACTGAATAGTGCACTTATAAATTCATGTTTTACAAACTATAGGGAGTATAACCAAATAATATGATTGTATTTCTGTAACGGTTAAGAGTTTCACAGTCACGTGTGGTTTTTCCATTTTCAGTCAATATTCACAGATTCTATAAGCAAAGATGGGCCTGAGCCATGCACCTTTCCTTGTGAGATGATCTAAAACTAAATGGGTGATCTTGTAAAACTATGTATTCCAGTTTTGGAGTACAATTTGCCGGATCAAGACTGCCAACATACTTCCGATAGATATGTTGATGACATTAACAGCATCATTGTTCAACTGCAAAATCAAACCAGCAACAGATGTCAGCAGCGGTGAATTAAAATCTCAAACTGAACAACAGCGCACACAGAGAGAGAGAGAGAGAGAGAGAGAGAGAGAGTTTAGTTTCTAAACAGCAATCTTCTCAGTCATACTAAAAAAAGCTGGATGCCCGGTAAAAAGTAAAGAATTGAAATGATAATTTGTGTTGGTCACCAACCCATCGGAATCCTTCTTTCTCTTGGAGGGAAGCACCTATCACGCTTTCACCAAGATTAGCAATCTGGGAAGCTACGACACAAATCACAGCCTCCGGTCCATTTATCTGTTTTCCAATTATTTTTTCAAGAGAAGGAAAAATACACATTTGGTCAGATATCTTATGAAGATATAAACATAAAAGTGCATGTTGAAAGATTCTAATGACACAGCTTAAAAAAAACAGACAAGCATAATGAAAGTTCCGACCATCTTAATACTGTTTTAAGTTTTGTTCATAAAGGAAACAAGCAAAGTGAAAAAAGAGAAAAGATTCAAAGAATGTGGAGGGAATGAGAGTTGAATATTTAAAATTGTAAACACAGAGAATTTTATTATACCTCACCCATCAGATAACCAACGAAAGAAAGAAGAATTGATGCTAAAAGTCCAGCAACGGTTCCCTCAACACTAACAGCTCCTTCGGTTCCCCTTGGAACTATCTTAAATGTCGTGACTAGATACCTGCATTAAAAGCAGCAATTTTAAAGCATGCACACCATATATATTTATTTCATTGAAAATTTTGTAGGAGGTCATTAATGCTTGGATACTGTGACGGAATTGACAAAGAAAACTTGAAAGGTTTGTACAATATTAAAATACTGTTTTTTCCTGGGATACACAGATAGATTTTAACTGAGAAACTCGTAGAACCAGAATATAACCGAGAGAATGCATCTACAGTAAATCCAGTATCATGTCAAAGACTCCAAAATTCAAATACTAACTTGAGGTGCAAATAGCATACTTTAGGATAGATAAATCTCTTAAGATGCTACTCATGCTTCCTAGGATAAATCTCAACCATTTAAAGCATTTGACACAAAGCACCCTCCTCAATTGGACCAAAAATCAATCGCAGGAGTAGAATTTGTGGGCTCCATTCAACATACCAATTGCAATAATTTTAGCTTCCGTTATTCAAGATATAATCCAGTGTATGTAATACTGACATATAACTGGCAGTAGTCTCATCAAAATCTTAACCATTGATCAAAACTCAACACAAATTTTAAGTTATCATGTGGCAGGATGGGAACCTAAGACAGCATGATAGATCACCCAGTAACACATTTTATGCACAATAATAACAACAAAGGTTTTATAACCATACCAACCCATAAAATTTACCGTCATAAATGAGAACCCTAAAAAACCTAGGAAACCACAAGTTAAAAGATGCATCCCTTACGTTGTTTTTCCATATGCTTTTCCTATTTCACTTGAGACAGTATCACTCAATTTAGTACAGAAACTGGCGACAAACCCAAGTTCCAGAAGGTGATAAAATTTGCTTCCGCCAACTCCAAATATTGAAAGGAAAGCACAAACACAACCAGCTGCACTGGAACCAATCACGCTTCCTGGTCCTCTCCTTCCTTTCCTCTTCTCAGCAACCCCTTGAGCCTCCTTCTGTGCCATTTTCAACTTTGTTGCACCTGTACCCTAGCAGATCCAAAAGCACAAATATGCATTACATACAAAACTTGAAAATGCCATCTCTAATCAACCTCAAATTCCACAATTAAATTTAAGCCAATTGAATTCCTTTTCTATCACAATGTAGTATGTAACTGCAATCCCTCATCAATCAAAATTGTAGTAGTACAATCAAAATTGAGGACCATAATCAAATTACTCAAATTCCACAATTAAATTTAAACCAATTGACTTCCTTTTCTATAACAATGTAGTATGCAACTTGAATCAAAACTGTAGTAGTACGATGAAAAAAAGAAAATTGTGGCCCATAATAAGATTACTTGACTTCCTTTTCTATGACAATGTAGTATGTAACTGCAATTACTCATCAATCAAAACTGTAGTAGTACAATCAACAACAAAAAAAAAGAAAAAAGAAAATTGAGACCCATAATCAAATTAAAGCAAAGAATGAGAATTTATTAATGAAGTTTATCATATCAGTATTCACAGAGAATGATTATCAATTAAACTCTTCACAAAATGGTTAAAAATCAAAACCCATAAAGAAAATTATCAACTAATGCAGAACAAATGATCTTTCTACACTACCACTATGTTTGGGAACTTCGGAGGGAAAACAAAAGAAATGATTACGTAAATTATATTATAAGAGAAAAGAAAAAAAAAATGATTGTGATTTATCTCCTTCTTGTTTGGATAAGTAAGAAATAAAAGAAAATAAATCTCATTCTTATTTGGTTAGATTTCATAAGAGAAAATAAAAGAAACTGTTTTATGTTATATTACCAAAATAACCTTTTTATATTTTGTCAATCATTTTATTTATTTTATTTTTATAGGGACAAAATTGATATTATAAAAATATAAAAATCTGTTAGTTTTTTTTTTTTTCTCTCAATCTCTCTATTTTGGAAAGATTGAAAATGAGGGTTAGAAGAGAAATGAATTTCTCTTTGTCTCTCTCCATTTCTTTCCACTACTCTCCACTTAAGTTATCCAAACAAAAATATTTCTATCCATTTATTTTCTTTTCTCTCCAAATCACTCAATCCAAACATAGTATAATTGACTTAGAATTGAACTCTCAACACCCATTATTGTACTACATAAATGGAAATAAGATGAATCTCTCTACAATTAAAACTCATTTACTTGAATCAAATCTATGCAAAAATGTACATAAATAAATAGCAAAGAAAGCAATTGGAATTGATCTTACAATAACGAAATAGGTGGCGACGAGAAGAAAAGCGTAGGGACCAAAAGCGCGCCATGTGAGGGTGCCGAGCAAGAAGGCAGCTCCAATGCCGGGGAGAGAGAGGCCGGAGCGAAGAAGAGGAGAACCCACGACGAAGATGATGAGATTGCTGAGGAGAGAGGATTGCCAGGTGGGCGGCGAAGATTGAAGAGACTGAATTGCGTGGTGAAGAAGCCCTAGATCAGTGGAGGTGGTGGTTGCTTGAGCTTTGACAGTAGGGATTGTCATCTGAGGAGGAGTTATAGGGTTTGGGATGTGAGTGGTTTTTAGGGTTTGTGGTTTGTGAATTGATGAGAGTATTGATTGGTGAGGATGGAGGAGGAGGAGGAGGTGTGGGAGTGATTGGGGTGGTGTGAAGAAGATGATCAAGTTCAAAGGTTGACAAAGAGGCCATTTTTAATGAGTTGAAATGTGTTTTGTGTTTTTTTGGGGGAGAGAGAGAGAGAGAGAGAGAGAGGAGTGTGAAGGAAGGAATGAAGGAAGGTGCAGGCCAGCAAGCTGCTATGCTGCCCAACCCAACATCACATTTCAAGTGGGCCTAGGCCTCAAGTTTTTTAATTTTTTTGACAAATTACTAGAATAGAATGTCTAGTCTTAGGGGTAGTTTGAAGTGTCTTAAATAAATGTATTTTTTATTTTTTTAGATTAAAAAGATGAGAAAAAAAAATATGAATGTTTGGGTTAATTTTTTATTTTTTTATAAAAAAATGTGTAATAAAAAATTGTATAAATAAAATGTGTAGTGGAAGATTAATTATTGATTGTACAGCTGCCTCGGCTGCCCAGCCTGTGTATACAAAATAAAAAAATTATCACCTTCGGGGCAAATAACTTTTGGATAGTGATGGTCGGTCTGTGAGGACCATCATGGGTCCCATTTTAATAATCTGAACTGTTCAATATGTACAATTCGTCGAATATTATATGCTTGTAAAAAATCACTTTGATCAGATATCGATAGCTATATAATCAGATTAGTTTTTTTTCAACAGTTAACTACCACACCATCTGTTTTGTTTATACAAAACTGATTTGATCATATAGTTAACGATATCCGATCAATGTAATTTTTACAGGAATATATTAATCGACGAGTTTTATATGTTCAACGGTTCAGATTATCAAAAGAGAGTCCTTAGTGGGCCTTCATGGGCCCAACATTTTTGTGACTTTACATATAGTATTTTTTTTAGCCCCAAACTTCGGGGCAAAAGCCTGTCAGACGGCAAATAATCAGCTGTTGTGCATTTGAAGTGTAAATACATATAAAATATTTTTTTAATATTTTTTATTTGTGAATAGTAATATCTTTTTTACTTTTTGTGTAACTTTTTGACTTTTTGAATTTTTTTGAAGATGCCAAACTTGGCCTTATAATCTTTTGAATGCTCTCAAAAGTTCATTACGTATTTTTCTTTTTCATTTTTCTCTGTGCATTTGTTTTTCTCTACATCTTTCTCTTCATGATTTTCGGTGACCGGCGACCATGCCTTTGGGGTTGTTTAGAGTGTCCTAAATAAGTGCACTTTTTATCTTTTTGGACTAAAAAGTTGAGGAAAAAAATATGGATGTTTGGGTTAACTTTTTTACTTTTTATGAAAAAATATGTATTAAAAAATTGTATAAATAAGTGTGTAGGAGAAGATAGTGTAGTACACCGTACGGATTGGCGGTCAGTCGGCTGGGTGAATACATGGGAAAAAATTGCCTCATTTTCGAATTTTGATTGGACGATGTCGTTCGGCTCGTGGGGGCCCACCACGGGTCCCTTTTTCTAATCGGAACTGTTCAATGTGTAGAACTTGTCGAGTACTAAATACTTTTAAAAAATCATGTTGATTGGATATCGATAACTATCTGATCGTATTAGTTTTTTTTATCAACTGTTAACTATAACACCATCCAATTTTTATACAAAACTGATTTGATCATGTAGTTAGCGATATCCAATAGACATGATTTTTTATACACATATAGTACTAGACGAGTTCTACATCTTGAACGGTTCGGATTATCAAAACGGGACCCATAATGGACCCCCCACGGGCCCAACTTTACCATCCAACTTAGTGAATGTACACATGTAATTTTTTTTCCCCCCCTTTCACTGAAGCTGGCCTGACGTCAGTACATTGATGGGAGAAAAAGTTGATTTGTATTTAATATTTGTATATTAATTTTTTTATAATTTTTTTGGTGAATAGTGATAACTTTTTAACTTTTTTGGTAACTTTTTGACTTTTTTTACACTTGCCAAACCAGCCATTTTTCTCTTTCACTTTTTAATATATAGTCATTGGTGACCAACGACCATCATTGCTTGGGGTTTACCGACAACCATTGACCATCGACTTCTTATTTCACCATCGCTGACGGCGAAAGAGACGAGTTTTCAGCGAATAAGATGAGTTGATCTACTCAGATCTGGTGTAGATCTATATCAGATCTGCGTAAATTTACATGAGATCCAACTAGATCTAAACCAAGAATAGTTGTCGGAGTACAATATTCTATCTATATCTGTTTCTCTTATTCGATTTCTCAAATTTTTTAACTTATCTCTACTACACACTTTTATTTTCCTATTTTAATGGACAAAATTTTCAAGTTCGGAACAAGTTGCTTTTAAGTTTTAGTTACAGACGGTTAAAATTGTAAAATTTTACAGTTTCAGTTTTTTTGCGTCGAAATGAATTATACTTTAAAACTGTAAAATTTTACAGTTTCATAACATTCTTTAGAATTATAAAATTTTGCAGGTTTATAACATGTTTTCCAGTTTGATTAATAATAATAAATGTTTAATAGAAGGGTAAATTACAAATACACCCTTGAGGTTTATTTAAAATACATATTGGCCCTGTGGTTTGAAAATTACAAATATTCTCTTATTATAATTTTTTATTTAATAGAATTAACGAAAAAAATAAAATTCATAATTACTCTCCTATATAATAATAAAATTACCTAAATTATTAATTGAAACATATTTTTAACATCATTAAAAACTGTTAATTGACTTGATGATTTATTAATAAAATAGACGATTTGTTATAAAATTAGAAACCTCAATGGGTGGAATGTAATTTTTAAAACCACAGGGAGTGATTCGTATTTTAATCAAACCTCAGTGGGTGTATTTGTAATTTATCCTTAATAGAATCATGCTTTGAAACTGTAACATTTTACAGATTCAAAACTTACTTTTCAGTCTGATCAATATTGGAGATTATTTACTTAAACCCTATAAAAATTAAAAAATAATATATATTTTTTCCCATTGTTGTTTGTTGTTGTTATTTTTTTTCTTCTTTCACTTTATTAATATTTAGCACATTTTGTTATGTATTTTCACTATAATTTCTCCATTTATTTTTTTTTCGGTAATATTCTGGACATTCCGGTGAGTTACCGATGATGTTCTTGGAGTTCAACGAACATTCTGAACATTCCGGCGACTTCCAATGATGTTCTAAACACTTCGGTGATAATCCGGCGAACTTCCAGCGACTTCTCGGTGATGTTGAATATTTCGGGAAGTCTTCGGTGACGGTTTGACGGAAGTTTGGTAGTGGTGGAATGTAGTAGCGTTTTTAAAGTTATGAAAAAAAAAAAGATTTTTTGGTAATAATTAAAAATATGTAAGACTAATTGGTCCAAGTTTTTGTTTTGGGATTATATTTTGAACTTTTTGTGTATGGGACTTGCTAAAAAATGCCTTTTTATTTTTTATTTTTATTTTTTATAATTGGAAGTATGGGTGAGCAGCGGATATACCGATCCGCCAAAACCGACTGAACCGAACCGATCCGCCGCATTTTGGACGGATGCGTGATGACGAGCGGACGGTTGCGGATTGATTTTCTCCAATCCGCCAATCTGGCGGACGGATGGCGGATTTGAGATTCCTTTGGCTGCAGCCGAACCGCCAAACCGCGAGCACCCCTAGTAATTTATAAGACTTTGTGTTTTCAGTTTGTTTAAATATTCTATTTGTATTTTCAATTAAAAAAGAGTTTAAATATTCTATTGAAAAAAAGTTTTTAACTTGAATATCTTTTTTGAATTGAAAAAAATAAACATATTATTTATCTATATTTTTTGGTTTTTAAATCTATCTTTAAAAATAATAAATAGAAAATATGATATATGCTGGTTGGTTTTTGTTTTCAAAAACAGATATAGATATAACAATACAGAGACATACAATCTCTACTACTGCTCTATTTATGGTTTTGGTGGTTTAAATTGTTTTTATATTTTAAGAACCACATATTGTAATACTTTATGTGGATGAGGCATACTGTGATTGTAATATGTGGAAGAGGCATGCAGTGATTGTAATATTCTAATGTTTCAAACTTTCTTACTTTGGATGAGACATGCAGTGATTGTAATATTTCTTTAAGTCATTGACTGTAATACTTTCTTCTTCTTCTTTTTTTTTTGAGAAAATGCACAAGTTGAATTATGTTGAAAATTTATAAAAATTTAAACTGCCAAACCGATTCGCATCCATCCGCCAAACCGCCAATTCGCTCAATCCACATCCGCCGGATTGGTGGACGGATGCGGATTGATTTTCTCCAATCCGCTAATCTGGCGGACGGATGGCGGATTGGAAGTTCCGTGGCCGCAACTGTAACGCCCTCAAATAATACATATAAACCCATCATTTTTGACATGCATAGACATAAGAGAATAAAACATATTTCCATTCATCAGAGTATTAAGTACAAAAATATTACATGTTGACAACAAAAGTAAATTCCCTAGGGGCTTACAACTTTCCAAGTCAACACTTGGGTTCAACAAAAGAAGAGTTCTAACTCTTTATACAAAATAAGCCCTTGGCTTGATTAACGTGTAATACAAAAAGAAAACAACAAAAAGATCTTCAAGCCTCTAAGCCTCCCAAGCTACGTCCTTGGAGGTGGCATATCTCCTGAACCTGAAAATGATGTCCCATATAGGGTGAACCAATGCCCAGTAGAGATATACTAAACCAAGTATGAGAAATAACTAAAAACAATAGCATTTGATATATGGTTAGCACATATAAACAACTTACAATACTTTTCAATTCAGTATCAAGTACACCCATTTTTCATTTCAATTTACTTTACTTATACATTTTCGATTCATAACTATGGCTCAGAACCTGGCCAAACAATTCAATGAGACTATAACTCATATTTAAAACATTTCCATATTTCACAATTCACATGAGATTATAACTCATATTACAATACTTCCATATTTCAATTGATACACATATTTGTTGTATCAGTGGAGTCCAACCCCTATCTCCTCTCAAACCATGGAGTACATCCCCTATCTTCTCCCAAACAATATACATATACAATGTATTAAAACACTTATCATATACAATGATCAATCAATACACACATTTGTTGTATTATTCCAACCGTCATATTCAATGACATATTCAATGTGATTAGTTTCAGTTTTCCCTAATCATCATACAATGTCTATAACAATCAAGACTATCCTCCACCGATAGCCCAAAGCAGTTATCTCTAAACAGATAATAAATTTATCAACAGATAAAATA